GAATATGATGAAGAACTGGGAGAAAAAGATAGTATTGAAGATGGTGCCGCTCCACCTAAAGGACCTACAAATGGTAAATTCTTTGTTTATATACAACACTTTTAATCAATTTTAACTTAAAAATCTAAACTTTTTATTTATTCACAATACCTTATATAGTTAGGGGACGAGAAGAACCACCGGCTCTACTTGTTGATATTGGAAACGATGAGAAGAACAGAAAGAATGGAAAATCCCGATTTGTACCTGGGGACACGCATTCACAGGATCTTAGTAATCTTGCTGATAGACCAATAGGAAAATTCTCCGGCAGCTCCGACGGCGAAAGTCATAAAGCAGCATTAATGGCAGTATCAAAGAACGGAAAGAATGGAAAAACCCCGCGTTCACCTATTGAAGTAGGAGCGCATAGAAGTGATCTTAGCAGTGATGTTGAAAAACCAATAGGAAAATACGTCGAAAGTCAAATGATAGACTCACCAGCGGAAGAAGGACATTTCGAAACTAGAATCACGGAATATAAAGATGAACATGGTGTTACTCAAATCAAAAAAGAACAGATTTTTATTCCTGAAGTTAAAACAATTACTACTGTTCATGAAGAAAATATTTATATTGATTCACCTGATATTCAACGAACTCAAATTACCCAAGGCGGACATCAAATTAGCCAAGTTGGACATCAAATTAGCCAAGGCGAACATCAAATTAGCCAAGGTGGACATCAAATTAGCCAAGGTGGACATCAAATTAGCCAAGGTGGACATCAAATTATCCAAGGCGGACATCAAATTAGCCAAGGTGAACATCACATTGGCCAAGGCGGACATCACATTGGCCAAGGCGGACATCACATTGGCCAAGGCGGACATCAACTTAGCCAAGGTGGACATCAAATTAGCCAAGGTGGACATTTAGTTAGTCAAGTTACAAGAGATGAATCAGTTACTCATGAGTTACCAGCTAGTCAAAGTTCAACAATAACTACCACCTATGTAAGGGGTACTGACCCACCAACAACTACAACCACTACTACTCACGGGCATATAACTGGACAAGATACAAGAAGTACTCCAACAACGACTACAACCACTACTACTTATGAATATTTCGGTAGTCCAGGTGGAACCCAAAGCATTCGAAATATAAGAGATGCTTCAGGCCAAATAATTGAACAATACACACAAGAATTTCAAGGTGAACCTCATACTCATGTAACAAGAACAGAAGAGACACATGAAATATCTGGAGGAACTGAGACAATCATTACTACAGAAACAACGACTGAATACGAAGAATCTACAACACAAACATCTAGTCACACTGAATCATCTAAAACTAACAAATAGTGCAATTTAAAAAATACAAGATTTATGAAATAATAATAGAAATAATTTCGAATAAATTTTGTTTAGAAAAATATTAAACATTTGGCAAAATATGTAAATTTGTATGGGATGGAGTATAGCATATTGCTATTGTGTAAGTATTAGTGTTTATACTATTTTATACATATTACGTAGTCAATAACTAGGCATTGGGCACATTTATACTGTTGTCCTGTGTTTGGATTAATTTAAAATAGGTTGGGAGAGAATATAAATTATATAGTCGATTCTTTCTCTTTCTTTCTCTTTTTAATGCAGTTTATAATTGTAATATTTAAATTTTAACGCTAAAAAAGCTGGTAATTTATTTATTTACTAAATGAAGTATATATATATTTTTTAACATTATAAAGCGTAGAATAACAAAAAAAATTTTTTGATTAAATTGCTTTTTTTAAAAAAAACTTTTTAGTAAATTAAATACAGAATGATAGCTTATTAATCTAAACGATGACGATATAGTTTATTTATTTTTCTTTTCTGACAAGACAAAGTCAAATTATTTTTCTATTCACAAAATATTATATCTTTGTTGGAACTATTTTTTTTTACTATATTGTCTTAAGAACTAAAAATAAAATTATTTTTTTTTAATTACTATAATTGCATATCCATATTGATATATATAGATTACATATTTTGTTTTGCAATTGTTATGTCTTTAAATATAATAGTATGGAATTTATTAATGTGTTTAAGTCGAAATTAATACGTATCGACGTGTGTCTTTTGATATGATCAGAATTATTTTCGTGTACTAAAAAACGATTTAAATTACTAGATTATCCCACCATGGCTTAGCCACAAAGAATAGAATAGTACGTAGAGATTTTATGTAATCTCGATCTGAACTAATGTTAATGATTCGTAAACTGTCCTAAGGCAAAACTTGTTCAGAACTTAAATAAACTGATAATGATAGTAAATCATAGCGATAGCAAACCAGACCAAACCAGAACAGAACAGGCTGTTAACATCCCATATTCCTGTATTCAGATAGATGTAGAATGTGTATACGTAGTGCCATACAACAGAATCATAGTTTAATACCATATACAGTAATTGCATGTATTATACTAGTATTATACTTGCTTATATGAATATATAGTACCTTTTTAAAGCTAATAACATAACCAACCCCGTTGTTATGGTATGAATATTCGGAATTTTAAATCTCTTTAAATTCCCCGAAAGTCTAATAACCGTTATATTAGGATTACCTCGGGCATCTGCGCGCTATTTCGAGTACGCCCATGGGCGTTATTTCGAACATATAGGCTGATTTTCTGAATAGGGATATTAAATAGCCCACAAAGGACTAGTTCGGACTGGGTCTGGGACTGGACCTTTTAGGGTCGGTCTAAAACTAGT